AGCCAATTAAGTGCAATCTCTCTCTTGGCGGATGAGAGGATGTGGAGGAAGAGCTTAAAGCTCTTGTGGGGGAGATTTTCTGGTTTACAATTAAGTAGGGCAAAAATTGGATCTTTAGTCATTGTCTCTGAGACCAGCGAGTTCATAAGGGCGAAAACTTCATCCCAGAAGCCGGAGACTATTGGGCATCTCCACCATATGTGTATAAACGTACCCGACTCCGGGCATCCTCGGAAACAGTTTGGTGAGCATTGGGAATTGTACGTGGCCACTCTGGCTGGCACCAAGTACCAACGCATGAGGACCTTGTACATTATCTCTAACATACTTGCACACCGCGAGCTGGATTTGGTGTTCTGCCACGCCTGGTGCCAGGAATCTTCATCCATGACATCCCCTAGGTCGATATTCCATTTAGACACGTAGGATGGGGGAGGGTCCTCCAGTAGAGACAGGAGAGATGTATAAAGAAGGGAGATAGATGGGGATTGTCCCTACAAACTCTTTCGAAAGGCGAAGGTGTGGTGGCCTGTCCTGATTGTTGGTGTGTCCTGCAATAAAGCGTTTGATCTGGAGGTAGCGAAACAGTTCCTTGTTGGGTAACTGGTAGTGTTCCTGCAAGTACGGGAATGCTTTAATTCCTGAGGAGGATTGCAACTGGCAAAAATAGGTGAGATTACGTAAGGACCATTCCTTGAAGCTAACGGGACTGTGTAGAGCTGGAGGGAAGGAAGGGTTGTTCAGTATGGACATGAGGGGTTTATGTGGTGACATTAGTCCATATGCCTTTTTTACTGAGTCCCATATTTTAATAGAATTAGAAGTGACAGGATTAGAGATAGGGGGTCGATGTCTGGGGGGAAGCCAAACAAGGTTGGCAACCGTCGATGGGTGCGTCAACGCATTCTCTAGGGCCACCCAAGCCGGGGTTTCATAGTTTGCATGACATTTAGAGAGTTGGCCTATTTGTGCCGCTTGGTAGTATTTGAGTAAGTTCGGGACTGCCAGTCCCCCTTGGGATTTTGGAAGGTAAAGCGTACGACGGGGAATTCTTGGTCTCTTGTCTCCCCATATAAAGGCAAAAATGCGTGACTGCAGTCTATGCAGTGTGGGGGCTGGAACTCCCACCGGTAAGACTCTAAACAAGTAGAGCATTTTAGGCAGGAGGGTCATCTTGACGGCCGCAATCCTTCCCAACCAGGAAAGGCGATAATTAGCCCAGGTTCTTAACAATTGAAACAATTTAGTCACCATTTGTGGGTAGTTCGCCTTATAAAATAATTGGTAGGATGGGGTTAGTTTAATACCCAGATATGGGAGGTGGGAGGTGCACCAGGTGTAGTTATATGAATGTTGCAAGGACGTCACTTGGGTGGTGGGTAGGGATATGTTTAGGACTAAAGATTTGGTATCATTGATGTGCAGTCCCGAAATAGAGGAAAATTCTGTAATAAGTTTCGTAAGATTGGGTAGAGACACTAGGGGGTTTGTTAAAGATTAGCGCGTCATCTGCAAACATACAAATTTTATGTGACGCACCCTCGTGAGTGATTCCAGAAATGTTAGTGTTGCTGTTTATTAAACCGTATATAATACATTCTGCCCTGTCCGGTTTGGTCTGCCTGTGTGGGTACCTGCACAGGTGTGGGGTCACCTATGCCGGTATCCCTGACAGTAACATGCTTATCATTCACAGTTATTGCATACATGGGATTTCCCTTCACTGGCACTGCGGTGCATGAAATAGTGGCAAACAAAGACTGCCGTCTTTCCTTGAAAGACAAGTCACACTGCATAGGCTCATCAGTCAATGGACAGTTCACAGCTACATGTCCAAGTTCCTGGCAACGAAAACATCTAACATCCCTCAGGTTAGGTCTGCTGACTGGCACTAGTTTTCCTGCTTTGGAATGCCAACCTCCCAACTTTAAATCATCAGTTTTTCCCCTGCTTCCTTGCCACGCTCACCACCCACTTCCCCTGGAACAGTCTTACCGGTTGCCAAGGAAGACCGTGGTTTTAGGCGGAAAGTCCATGGGCTCACAGGGGAGGCATTCAAGTCCTCAGCTGCAAAATACCTCTCAACAATCTTCACAAGCTGATCGACCGACTTTTGCAATATGACAGGTAAGGATCTTAAGAAGCGATCCATGACTACACGCTCAACGATCTGTGGCCCCGATAGGGACTCTGGTTGCAGCCATTTTCGGACGAGGTGAAACATCTGTGACCATGGAGCCTTTCCAGTTTGGTAGGACCAGTTGTTAACACGCTGTGCTCGCACCACCAAAGTAACACCTCGCCATGCTAGTATCTCCAGCTTGACCTTGTCATAATCCATGGCATCTGCAGACTCCAAATCATAATATGCTTTCTGTGATTCGCCAGTTAGCAAGGGCGCCACCAGTCCTGCCCAACGTGTCTTAGGCCAAGCTTCCCTCTCAGCAGTTCTTTCAAATGTTAACAGGAAGGCCTCTGGATCATCATCTGCTGTCATCTTGGAAAGGAAGCGACTAACATGGATGGGTGAGGAGTTGTCAGAAGAATCTGCAGCTTGTACGGGAGACCTCTGTGCCAGCTTCTGCACTAGCTCTGTCAGCGTCTTCCGATCTCCTTCAGCAGCAACTGCTAGCTTTTCACAAAACATTTGTGTCTGTTCCTGTACAGCACTGATCTGCTGCTGCATCTGTGTGTGCAGCACCTGAGTCTTCTGCTGCAGAGCATCTAACAAGTCCTGCTGTGTAGCATTAGCCTGTTGCTGTGCTGCATTAGCCTACACCAACTGTTTTATAACTTCATCCATTTTCTGTCACTTCAGGTACTGGCCCTTTAAATACCAGGTTCTTGCTATTACTTGCCCGTAATCTCCACCATATGTGAGCTGGGGAATAGGTAGCGGGTGCAATTGCTCCCTGGGGTGAGCACTCCTGAAAGGTTTAGAGACCAGACCAGTTACCTGTCTTCAAACAGTGGTACATTTTGTTGGTGCAACACACAGGCTATATAGAGTGCTGTACAGTGCTCAAATAAAGTAAACACTTCAAAAACAAAATCCTAGCCGTGTCCCAGCACTAACTAAACATACGATAGTCCTGACTACCAACCTGTACAAACCTGTTGTTTGTCAGGCTTCAGCAAAACACCATGACCAACCTTGTGCTCCAGCAGATAGAAACTGTCTGCTCCCCAGGCTCCAGAGCTCTGTCTGTTTGCCTCACCTGCACTAAATTGCCACTGAGGCAAAGTGTAAAACCTGGGGCTTACTATAGGTTCCGGAAGGTGTAAGAGAGGAATCTGGGTGACACATAAACCCCGGACAGGACCTCTCCTTGCTCTCTACATAATGGCCTGCTAAAATACTCAAAGAACATTTTAGAATTCCCCAGAGGAACCAAATAGATTGTAAAACATTTGAATCGTGGTTTCTAATAGCCACCTTAGTAGTAAATAAGTCTCAGTCTGTAACCATATAACATATAATTAAGGAAGATACTTGTGCATGAATAGTACACAAGCTAAATAAGTTACTTCTGACCAGAGATACTTATAAAATAAAAAACAATTTATTGACAATATTGTTTCACATGTATTGCACCACTACCCAAAATACAGTTAAAAAAGATTTGACAATGTTGTCACTTATACACACACACACATGCTCACAGGCCCCCAATCAGAAAAATAACAGTACATGTATATATATTAAAAGAAAAGATACACAAGCACACAGAGCATTAAATGTAAAAATTAAACTACCCTAAATACACTGTAGACCCAAAAAACAAACCCACATACTTTAAATAACAAAAAAAACTTAGGAGGAAGACTAGCCTGATGTCACTGCTGATAAACTATGCTGTCGCTGGCCAATCTTAGACCACCATTTCTGAGGGATGAAGCTCTAATTTATGTAGAAAAAAACTGCCTATGCCTTGTGTCTCCATGTTTATCATTGTTGTTGCTTCTGCCAAACTATCTTGCCTCTGGAAAATGTATACTTTCACTAAATCTGTCTCTTAAAACTGTGCTGGTTCCATAGCTCCATGCACAGCTTTATACCATCTCCTAAATCTTTAATTGAAATGATTTTTGCATTTTCCATGTCTTTCTCAAAGACCCCCTCTGAAAAGAGCCCCATTCCACTGTACTTTATTTTCATTGCAAAAGGTCCCATACAGCAGTGACTGGCTTCCCCCAGGGGGTCACAAGCGTTCATCAAACTTCAGCTCCCATTGACGTCAACGTTATTTACCTTGATTTTTTGCCTTTCAGCTATATTTTTAGCAACTTTATACATAATATAGGATAAACATTAAGAATTCTAAATAAAACATACTCACACTATCAATCTGAAACACAAAAAAATAGCAATTAAATGTGTAACCAGTAATGTCAAGTAATGAACACAAAATATATGTCATAAAACAAAATGGCTGTTGTCAACATATCATAAAAAAATATGATCAACTAAAGCAATGATATCATCATAAAACTTTACTATTCACTAGGGTAAAGCAGTTCCCTAATTGAGGGCTGACAATTTTATAAAAGTCCCAGCTGTACTGCAATGTAGTACTTCTACATTGTATGCTGCACATAAATACATGGAACAGCACAGCAGGTAAGAATCCAAAGATCTAGTACACTGATTAATATGGTATGCTTCATGACAATAAATGTAACATGTTTTACTTACTAGATATGATTAAATTTATTACACAGATTTCACTGACCTGAAAACATGATGTTGGAAAGATATTTGTGTATGATATGTAAAGCCTACAACAAACTGCCATACAAATCCCTGTCTCCATAACATGTTCCATTAGTCGTGACATTTTTTTGCCCATTTCTTTCTTGGATAGGTGTGGACACAACAGTAATAGCGTGTTTTCCTGTACAAGGTGCCAGAAGAACAAGAAGAAAAAAGCATTGATTATTTTTGTATTTCAACAGAGTTAATGTATTGCTTTTCCTTTCAGCAGGTACTACGCAGATACATGGCAAACAGGACAACAAGGCCTAATGAATTCACATTGCTAGGACTGACTGATAATCCTAAGAGTCAGGTTATCCTATTTGTGTTCTTCTTGATAGTTTATATTCTCACAATTCTAGGAAATTCTCTGTTGGTCATCACAATTACATTGTCTACATCTCTTCATACTCCAATGTACTTCTTCCTGCGAAATCTTTCAGTTGTAGATATTTGCTTCTCCACCTCCACAGTCCCAAAGCTGTTGTCAGACTTTTTATCGGACGTAAAACAAATTTCCTTTTTTGGCTGTGTGGCCCAACTCTACTCTTTTATATCCTTTGGGGGAGTTGAATGCATTCTACTTGTTGCTATGGCAGGCGACCGCTATGTGGCTATATGCATGCCCCTACTTTATTCTAAAGTAATGAGCTGGAAGATATGTACAATCATGACTACAACATGTTGGATACTTGCTCTATTAAATTCTCTTGCCCATACTGTCTTCACATTCCGGCTACCGTTCTGCAAATCTAGAGTTTTAAACCACTTCTTCTGTGATATCCCACCACTCCTGGCCTTGTCCTGTGCTGATACAACCATTAATGAAATTGTGGTGTATACTGCTGGAGGGTCTGTAATCATGGGGTCCTGTTTGTTAACGCTTACATCATATATTTTTATTGTTAGAGAAATTTTAAAAATCCAGACAGCCTCAGGAAGACTGAAAGCATTTTCAACTTGTGCCTCTCATTTGGCAGTTGTGACACTTTATTTCGGAACAAGTGTCTTCACATACATACGCCCTACATCTACCTATTCTCTTGACCAAGACAGGGTTGTTCCAGTTCTGTATGGTATTATTACTCCTATGCTAAACCCAATCATATATAGCTTTAGAAATAAAGATGTGCATGGAGCATTAACAAAAATAATTTTAAGATGTCACCAATCAACTGCACAATAAAGAATAAAAAACGTACAATTATTAAACATAGAAATAGTATAGGTGAAGAAATGACAATGCTTAAAATGAATATGATGCTCTGATATAATGTTTATATTTCACATTAAAGGAGAACTATGAGGTGAGTGCTTTTCACTCACCTCATAGTTCTAGCCGACCTGTGACAATGAGAATGTCACAGATCGGCTCAGTAGATCGGGAGGTGAGCGAACACATACCGGCGTTCGCTCACCTCTCGATCCTGTCACAGCCCTCTGCCATGCTGACTGGCGGATCGAACGGGGGAGGGGGCGGGTACAGCTGGCTCTGCCTCTAGATAGGCAGAGCCAGCTGTCACTCACACAGCTGGGCGGATCCAGACATAATTGTCGGGATCCGCTTCAGCTGCGGCATCTCAGTATATCATGAGCAGCAGCTCGCGGTATACTGTGGCGTCTCAGTATACCGCGAGCTGTAGCTCGCGGTATACTGAGCTTGGGGTGACGGGAGGACGCTAGTTTGTGTCCTCCCGTTACTCTAAGGAGAACTATGTGGAAAAGCCTTAACCCCATAGTTCTCCTTTAAAGCTGAACTTTGGGCACAACAACTTTTATTCAAATATATTCCTCAACAGCCAGAGGGGATTTAAATCCACTATGTGTGCACCAAATACCATTAAGATTCCAGTAAGAATACACAAGACTCTTAAATTTAGACATTTCTTTCTCATCCTGGAGTTTCAACTTTAGGCCCCATTCACACCTAAGCATGAGCATAGCTATGCAATTTAGAGGCTTTTATATGCATTTATACACACATTTGTTAACACATTTTTATGTGAAACTTGTAGTGCAGGAGCAGTATCATGCATTTTTGGCCCCATAGACTTTTAAATGAAAGTGTCTAAAAAAAGTGTGCAAACTTGTGTTTTTCAGGCATTTTTGTTTGCTCCAGTTAAAAGTCTATGGGGCCAAAAATGCATATTTCTGCCCCCAAAAAAGCTTCTGTACTTTTTCAAGCTTCACATGACAGGTGACCCAAGCAACAGACCCATTGAGAATAATGTGATTCTTCTCATAATCATTGTTGCACTTCAGAAATCGTGCAACAAAAAGTGTGAATGGGGCTCCTAAGTATACAAATTCTTGAGGCAAACAATAACATATTAAGAAGAGGTGTATTTTATAGAACTTTTTATGTAAAGAGGCGATATTACATCTAAATATTTTATTATTTATTATGCAAATTATGCATTTGCTGTCAAGGGAAGAAAGTTAAAGGTGCAGTAACCCATGGAAGCCAAGAACACTATACCTTACTGAGGCCATAGAAGTACAAGAAGAGTTGCCTGGTTGTCATGGGTACTACAGTTTTCTCTTTTATTAAATAAGCCCATAAGGGTCAGGGTTTTATTCATACCATTTCAATAAAAAGCTTCACTGAGATAAATATATAATCTGTAATTGATGACTTTCTTCTTAAAGTTCAGGTTTCTTGGCTGCCTTCAATTTGATTATTTTCTCAGTCAATGTCCCAGTAAAGCCAAAATTCAGCATGAAAAAACATGATGAAAAAACAACAGTCGGAACAGTCTTTTGCTGGACCTGATTTTGCCTAATTGAGGGTCATCTGATGTAAAGGGGCACATGTCCGTTTGACATCCGATTCCCCATAGACAGACAAGGGGTCCGGTAATTGCATTTTTTTCTTCTAACACAATATAAAGAAAAAACTGTACGGACACGGATGTCACTGTAGTGACATCCACTCCGTACTGCTGTGAACAGTATAAACTGTTTACTAAAAGGCTCTTCTCAATAGGCTAACATAGCATTCTGTTAGTTATCTACAGACTTTTATCACAACTTGAAATGTGGACAGATACAATTGCTAGCTTCTCTTCACAACATGAGGTAACAACAGGTGTGTTTTCTCTTTACCTTTCTTCCATATTCTTTCATCTCCTTCTCTTATCTCTCAGATACCCCATGGAAGGAGATTTATGTCTTAGAACTATGGGTGAGATCTAGTTATCTAACAGCTCAGCGAGAATGGAACTTCTTTTTGTTAACTGTCTCAGAAGGACGCATTCAACAAGTGTCCTTCTTTTGATTACAGGAAGTTTCCTTTCAATTATAAAAGGCCCTTAGTTACAGACTAGAGCAGGGATGTACAAACTGCGGCCCTCCAGCTGTGGTGGAACTACGAATCCCATGAGGCTTTGCAAGATTCTCACAGCCACAGACATGACTCCCGGAGAGGTTCAAATGGGATAAAACATTACAAAGTGGCACTTAGGAGAATCACACTCTGTACAATCTATTTGTACATTCTGTGTTAGATCTACAACATTGTATTGCAAAGCACACAGAAAACATAATAAAACAGAGCTCCTCAGGTCTGATGAAGGGGGCTGTCAGAGACTCACCCGGCGCGTCCGTCATCTCCAGCGGCGCGCCGTCTCAGCGGTGACGTCACGCCGGGCTCCGCCCCCTGACCTCGGCTTCCCTACTTAGCCACAGCTGAAACACTCACTCGGCGTTCTGTCAATGCGGAACGTCGAGAGAGAGCTGCCCGCACTCAAAACGAACCAGGCTACTTGCTGGATCATCTGTCACCCGTGGCCACACTCTGGGACACTACACCTCTCCCACAACGCAACTCTCCACCATTGCAGCACCAAACGGACTCCCCAACAGTTACTCACCATCTCCTAACCGCAAGTACTAGGGGCTCTCCCCCAACCTCCTGTTCTCAGTTGCAGCGATAGCTGGCTGCTAATAACCTTGCTGTGATTCTGCTTGAACTGTTGATAGTCGCTATCACTTGCGATAGGAGTAACTAGTCTGACTGTCATAGTGGTGTATGCAATTCTGCCTCCATTACATATGTATGCCATATTGCCTCCAGTAAATATCTATGCAAATCTATCTCCATAAGATATCACTACCATCTTGTTAACCACACTAGCCATACTACTTGTAGGAACTATCCAGATACTCCCCTTACCTCTAAATTAACTAAAAGTGCTAATCACTGCACTGTGTGTCTCAGGGGACTACAGTCCCATCACTCCCCCTCAGCTGAGAGACATCAATCTACAATTACTATAATAGTCGTGGGTTAAGCACCCACTCGGCCGCGATACATGATGTGGAACGGTTCCCCATCGCACTTGGTGTATTAGGGAACCGTCTGTCTGATCCCATAGGCCATGGTTAAAGAGCTCCGCAGCTGTGATCCAAACCCTCCACTCAATTGAGGAACGTGACAGGGGCGTCGCCCCAGAAACCCGTTACCTTGTTTGCCATGCCAGTAGTAGGATATTTGCTCCAGGCTGCATGTTCCTGCTGTGACTGGCATTGGACACTTTCACATCGCAGATATTCCTCTGTTGCTACAGGCTTGTTTACATTGGCTGTTTGTGAGTACATTCTTGCTTTTAATCTCCACTTAATAAAGCTATTTACACTAGAGAGGCGCACTGTTTTTTATGTTTTCTGTGTGCTAGAGCTTCAGACACCCTGACTGACTGTCTAAAGTGCTGCCCTCCAGTGAAGAGTCGCAGTGTATCTACCCATTGAAAATGAACTTTGGCGCCAATGACTTTGTTTGAACTTTGAGATTGTATTACAAAGGCCTACCTTACTGCATGCAAACTGAATTAAGTTTTAAGGCTTGTCTTCACATTACATTTTGGTAAGTGCATACCGGTGATCATATTTAACATGAAGCTCTCTTTGCATATTCAAGGTTTTCACATAGTTTTCAAAATGTACATTGATCTGCACAACTCATTTCATGCAATTTAAGGTTATTTAAAGTGGACCTTTAACCCCTTTGAGTAAAAAGTGAAATCTAATTTTCTCTGGGATTCCTCTTGAAAAATAGCAGTGCACTTCCTGGTGTGTGAGGGTACCTAGGCACTCCTGGCAATTCTAAAAAGTTTTTAAAAAATGCAGTGGTTTTCATGTGGTTACTATGACAACCTTAAAAATACACAAATCCTTTGGATAACATGCTTAAAGGATGCCTTAAAGCTGTATGTTAGACTTGTGTGCCCGCAAAAAAATTGTTTCATTTTGTTTCTTTTCTGGGGGCTGTTATGCCCCTTTGAATAGTGAGGGGGCTGGCTTATTCAAAAGCCCCCTTATTGGACTTATTAAGCCTGCTGAGCATAATTCAAAGGACATGCAGTACATTATGGTAACGCATGGTAATGGGTGAACCTGAACCTCATCCCTAGTAAAAAAATAAATAGCTAAAAAAAAAACACTACCAGCTCAATCAATTACTTTAGGGTGGATTAATCCGTGTACGACCCGTAGTGGGTTAATTCCATCAACGGTCCTCAAGAAGTTAAACAGCCGCCGGGACTCTGTTCATATTTTTAAAGTGACCGCTCCCCCACCAGACACCCCCGCCATGGTCTTCTGTTCACCGACCTCTTCCCCGCACTATGGGAACAGGAGCAACGCTGATCACTTCCTGTCCCATCGTTGTCCCATCGAGCCGGTAAAGTGGCTGCTCCCCCCTTCCCGACAACCCTGCCGTGTTCTTCTGTTCACCAATCTCTTCCTCGTACTATGGGACCAGGAGCAACGCTGATTACATCACTTCCTGTCCCATAGCTGTCATTGTTTGACTCCGGAAACCAAGCAATAAGCTATTAATGTGCGATCTGCACTTCAATCGCTTATTTAAAGTGGAAAGGTGACACTAGGGGTCTTTTGGACCCCCAGTATCACCTTAAAGAGGACCTGTCAGTGCCAAAATGCTCTCATATGGGATTGGGATAGCAATTAAAGTAATGTTTAAAAAAAAAGTTTTAAAAATAACATTAAATAAATGTAAAATTAATAGAAACTTTTTTTAAAGTCCCCCGCGAGCATGTGCATCTTCCGATTAACACGTGTCGGGTGCGCCCACATACGAAAATGACAATTGTGCTACACATGTTGGGAATCGCCGCACATGTCAGAGTGAGAGCAATAATTCTAAGGCCAATATTTACATGCATC